AAAAGTTATCTATTTTATTTCAACTTTCACGTTTAAGCAGTTTAGTCTAAAAGTTTTAAACCTTTTCAAATCAGTCCTTTATTTTTATTTTAATCAAATCAGTCCATTTAATTCTTATTTGTGCTTATTGTGCATACATGTCTTTTATTTTGTCCATTTTAGTCCAAAAATTAAAAAAAAGTTTCAATTTGGTTTATCCTTTTTTAAGTTTCCCTATTAAGACTTAAACATAAACATAATAAATAAGTTGAATTAAACCCCCAATGTTAAAGTATGCAACCGTGTTTAAACGGAGGATTGTGAGGTGCGCGTATGCCCTTCCTCACTCCTAACCGAACTTTCGAACCCCGATCTCTGCGCAGACCTATTTTTAGGTGACTTGTCCCACCTTATAATTTGGACGAGTGGCGACTCCCTTTTTCTTTTATATTTCACACCTGATTTTTCATTGTTTTGAAAAAAATTTTAAAGTGGTCGTCAACACAACCTAAGTAACTTAACAATAATCTTTTTTTAAAAGAAATGAGGGGTACTGAGTTTGAGTCGCATAGCATATGGGTGAAATGAGATTAAGGGATAAAAAAAAGGTTGCCTCTCGTTATAAAACCAAGACTAAATTGATTTTAATCTATTAAATAACAAATATTAATTGTTTTATCAATTATCAGTTATTTTTATTGATCAAATTAGATAAAATTTTGACAATTTGAGTGACCTTAACAAATTTAAGGATGGCCATAAGGGTAGCCCTAAACAAGCATCTAACACATGTCAAAGGGTCTTATGTGAATGTTCCTTTCTCTCTATTAGGCAACATACATAGGGATGGCAATGGGTCCTAGTGAGGGCGAGGACCCTTTCCCCCTTCCTAGCCAATGGTGGATATGATGATCCCACAAGGATTTTTGGAAGGGGGTAAAAATACCCTCTATCCTCATCCTTGTGAAGAATAGGAGGTCTCTACAAGTATGCGAAGTCCCCGCTAAATACTAAAATTAAACAATTCAACCTTTTTCGATAAATAAATTTTATAACATTACATAAAGGGTAATTCATGGGGGCATAAAGATAGAAACCTACAGAAATGAAAAGCATTTAAAAATTACATGAAGTACACTCTAAAGATCCATTCCATAGACATAAATAAATTCTACATAGCTAAGAAATAAGTTCTCCATAGTCCAACAAATCCATAAAAAAACACCAAAAAGAGAGAAGAAATATGAAATTAGCATATGCATAAACATCCATCATGTTACATCCAATAAGGCAATACTATAGTGCAATAGCAACTTAATTTTTTGATCAACAACTTTAAGTTGAGAAAATAACTTCATTAAAAAAGTACTCCAAGTTAACATAATCTTAGAAAAAATTCCGATCGTTGGTTTGGGGGAAGAGGAATTGGGCAAGGTGTTGACAATTTGGGGTGGGTTGGGTAAAAATTAATTGGTTTTTTATAAATATATTATAATTTATAAAAATATTAATTTATATATTTTTTATTATATATGGATTCCTATTGAACTCATGAGATGAGGAAATTTCGTACAAAATTTTACAAGAGAAAAATTACCTCAATCCCTACTCTGTAGAGAACAATATTCTGTTAATTTTCATCCTCACGACAAAAATCTTTATGAAGTTCTATGTGTTTCAAAGAAAATTGCCATCCCTAAATGTACACATGGGCTTCCACCCCAAAAAAATAAGAAAATGTACACATGGGCCAATGTGTTTTTCCTAAAAGAAAAAAATTCAATTCCTTTAAATAAAATAATGTAGTTTTGTGAGAGTTTTATTTAAGGTAAAGGCATTGGAAAGAATGCATTTTACACTTTTTCGGTCAAGCAAAAATCTTGACCAAAAAAATCAATATTTCAGGTAAATTTTTTTACCAAAATCACATTTTGTATGTATAAAACCATAATTAAGGATTAATTCGGTTAAAACTAATTCGGTCCAGTATTTGCACCCAATTATAATGGCAGGAATTGGCACCAAGACTTGTTCGGTCAAGCATATTGACCAAAAAAATGATGACCCATATTCAGTGAAGTAGATTGACCAAAACAATAGCAAAAAAAAAATTGAGCTAATTTTTCATGAATAAAATAGATGTATTTCGGTCAAGAATTTTTGACCAAAATAGACCAACTGACTTGATTTGATAGGAGCTGATTTTTTGCAGGTTTTCTTCATATTTCGATCAAGCAATATGATCAAAATAATGGTTTGCACTGATTTAACTTTTGCAGACACATTTTGGTTAAATTTCTTGACCAAAAAGAAAGTTGCAGTTGATTTTATGGAAGCCGGTGCCTAGTTCAACTTTTTCTTCTTTTTCAATCAGTGTGCTTGATCGAAATAATATGCAATCCAGCTTTTCAGTATTTCGATCAATATTTTTGTCTGAAATTTATGTCCCACATTCTGGGTCCCACCATCTCTTCTCATATTTCAATCATGCAGCTTGACCAAAATGGCCCTCATCCCCCTTCATGCACCGTGTCTTTTTTCCTTCCTCATTCAAAAATTGTCCTCAGTTTTCTTTGAGCTCTCTTTTGCCTCACCCACCCACCACCAAGGGTTGCAGTTGATTTGAGCAGCCATTGAAGGTTATTTTATGAGTGTTTTACTTAATTGAGGTATGATTTAGTGGGATTTTGGTGTTTTTTCCCCTTTTTTTTTCTTTTTCCTCACTATTTTTTTCACTTTGTAGAGTAATTCACTTTCAACTTCTACCACCATCTATCTCCATCCTCCTTGTGTCTCGATCTATTGTTCTATTTGATTGATTAGTATGTATTTAAAGTTTTTTGTTATTTTTGTTATTTTATTTATATAATTATTATTTATCTAAAAATATTACTTTTTATGTGAATTTGTTGATATACTTTCGTAAATTAACTGTTATAATTTACAATTTTATTTGTATGTTTTTTACCTTTCTCAATTTATTAATCTTTTTTTTTTTTAGGTCCGTCCATCATATTCAAAGTTCACTTTGATTCACCAAAATTGGAAGTCTCCATTATTATTAGTATGTTTTAAGTTTTTGCTAAATTTTTACTTTTAAACTTAGTTTAGGAAAAAATTATAATATTAATTAATTAATTGATAAATTATGATTATATTGATTAATTGGTTGATTGGCAAATTATGATTTTATTGTTTAATTGATTGGTAAATTAAGATTATTTCAATTGATTAATTAGCAAATTATGATTAGATTATTTAATTGATTGATAAATTATTATTATATTAATTAATTGATTTATAAATTATGATTATATTGATTTATTATTAATTGATAATATTAATTAATTGATTGGTAAATTATGATTAAATTATTTAATTATTTATAAATTATTATTATATTAATTAATTGATTTATAAATTATGATTATATTTATTTATTTTTAATTGATAAATTATTTTTTTTTTGGTATGGACCATCCGGTATCCGAAAACTTATTGGGCTACCGACTAATCCGGATTTAAGCCGGGCAGGACCCAATCGGCGACAAAGCTCTCCCTCATGAGTTTTAACGGAGTTGCATTCCCAGGGCTTGAACTCAAGACCTCTGGTTAAACTGGAAGAGTCCCAGCTAACTCATCCACCCGCTCATGGGTTTTAATTGATAAATTATGATTATATTAATTAATTGATTTATAAATTATGATTTTATTGATTATTTATTGATTAGTAAATTATGATCATATTGATTAGTTATTGATTGGTAAATTATGATTATATCAATTAATTAATTAATTAGTAAATTTACATTTTATTAACTAATTCATCGGTTAATTATTATGTATTTTATAACATACTGAATGATATGCAAGTAGCTTAACATAAAAAAGAACTTAATATGATGATTATTAATATGTATAAATATTGTCTTTAAATTTTATGTTTAATTTAATATTTTTTAAAGTTTAAATCTAATGCATTTTTTTAATCATATACTAATGTAGTATTATTTCTTAATTTTTTTTGCTGTGAATTGCATACTTGGAGTTTGTAGAAGTGACAAGGCTGTTGATGTTGCCACCCAAAGGCTTATAAGGAAAAATCAATCACAAGCAACTAAGTCTTCAAGTACCATTGTCAGGGAGACCCTGAGAGATATGTGGTAATGGCAATGACACTAACTCTAGTGCACCCTCGCCTCCTCAACCCAAAAGGGAGCGATGTATTGCAAAAACTTAAAAAATGCCAGAAGATCCTTCCTAAAAGTTGAGCGTTGGGAAATGGGATGGGAAAACGTTACCAAAACAAGTTTGAAAGGATATTTCAATCATCCTTAACTCAAATACGCGTGATGCATACACAAGGTGGGGCTCAATTTCTTATGAATAGAATGAAGTGTACTAACAGGTCTTTCGAGTTTGTAGTTTTATTGAATAATTTATAATGACATGTTTTTATTTATATATGTGCATTTTCTTATATAAATCAATTAATATATGAATATATAATACCTATATTTTTCTTTTCAGAATAGATACGAGTGGGACCCCACTGAGGAGGGTGCTGTATGACCAACAATAATTGATGCCCAACTTTTGTCCCAAGTTTCGGGTGAACCTTCGAAGGATAGGCAACTTTATAGAATGCCCATTTACATGGACCTTGCTGAGCAAGGGTTGTCACACCATAAGCATCCTCCACGTATCAAACCTAATAGTTTTGTTCAATCATCGCAACGTGTGATACAGTTGCAACAACTATTACAGAATTACAAGAGAATCAACTGACATTACAAGAGAAGTTTGACA